TCCCGAGGAACAAAAGAATTTAAAAAGGAACAAAAGAAAAAAATAATAAAAAACCATAAAATTTGGGAACCAATAAACATAAAACTTCAAAAGGAACAAAAGAAAAAAACAATTCAAATACTTTGTTTCAACAAATCAGATTAAAAGGATGTTGAAATTTGGGAAGGATTAAAGAAACTTGCTACATGTTACGGCCAACAAAATGAGTGAGGAGAAAATAAAAAACGAGAAATAACAGACACGACATTTAAATTGTAAAAGAAAAGAAAGGCAAAGGCAGTCAAAGCAAACGAACTTGAGAATATACCTTAAACAAGAATAAACTACTGTAAATGACGGTGGGAGATGATCGACGGATATTCTTGTCCGCGGGGCGGCGGTGCTTGAGCGAGGAGTCGGAGGCGGATGGGGATGGCTTGGGGCGGATGCGGTTTTGCGGAGAGAGAGAGAGAGATAACGGAGACGTGGGTGGTGTTTTTTTTGCCAGTAAGAGTTTCAATTTTTAGGTAAAAGAAATCTTTAGGGGGGTGTATTTAATTGGGATTTATAAAGACTTTTAAAAACTTTTTAGGATTTTAGAAATCCTGGTGTATTTAATTTAGATTTCTCAAGACTTTTAAAAGTCTTGAGGTATTCAATTAGGATTTTAAAAAGTCTTACAAAATCCTGGTGTATTTAAGTTATTTAAGGTTAGGATTTATAAGGACTTTTTAAGATTTGCTGGGATTTCTAAAGAAAAAAACATGAAGGAAATCCCACTACAAATCTCACCTTTCGACTTGGTATTTTATAGGATTCTTTTAAAATCTGAAAATCCTCAAAAATCTTAAATCTTAAAAAGTCTTTAAATGTCACTCGAATTCCGAAACGAATACACCCCCCTTAATTTCAATTATGAATCGGATTACTATTTAATAAGCCAAGAAAATAGGGAATAACTGTTACATCCCAAATTGAGGTATTATTGAAATAATTTTAGCTTAGTTGGGCAATTTTATAAATAAAAATATAAAAGGCATATAAGTGTAATAAAAGTCATAACTAGTTGTAAGGGATGCAAATTCCTCTATGTGTTAAAAGGGGTAGCAACCGTAGCATCATCTGGATTGCTCATATATGATTTATCTACAGTGAGCATATTAGGGCCCATTACCTACCCGTGAAGCCCGCAGCCGGTATATAGACTAGCTCGTCTTTCAGTGGGCTTTCGAAATTTCAGCTCGTCCCATCTTTTAGTTAAGGTGAACTGGCCGGCCCACAGGTCCAAGTCCAAATTAAAATGCCTACCTTGGAGTAAGTCAAGACCAAAATGGCTTTAATAATACGTTTTGTGAACCTGAGATTTTCTGGGCATGGGTTCAACAAGAAGTGTTTGTTCCAGAACCCAACAAATTTATATGCAATCAGCTCGCCTTTACTCGTTTAATATCTAACCGGCACCCTATGTTTCGAGGTCCTCCTTAATGGGCTCGAGCGATCTGGATCGCGTACTGAAGTTGACCTTTTTAAAACATTTTACACTAACACAAAATTATGTTCAAATTACCCACAAGTTCAATGTGAGTGAGGCTAACTTACAATTTATTGTGGGTTCGTGTTATTACAAACGAGCTGCAAAACGAGAAGCCTCTTCAAACCATAATGCCTTCGTCCAAATGGAAAGTAAACCAAATCTCGTTGACTCTGTTTTTGAACTCGAACGGGGAATTATACTGAGCGACAATGTACTCCGAGGTGGCATTATCCCCTATTTTTTCGAGCCAAGCGGTCCCCACAAGGCTAGCGTACAAAGCGGCAGCTTGTTGCCCGACATCATCGGTTTTCACGAACCCACTGAACTGCCTCACAGCCACGTAAGTAGGCCCGGGCCATTTTCGGAGAGTGAGGCCTTCTGCTGATGGGGCAGTGGCTTGGTTCTTTTTCGGGACGTAAAAGCTTATGACGAAAGACGAGGCACAGAAGGGCCCGTCGCTCGGTTTGACCTCGGTGAGAACTGGAGCAGTCATCTCGATTTTCTCGTGGTTCTCGTTTTTGCCCTGGATGTAGGCGAATAGCCTGTTGTGCAAAAAGGGAGAGAAGAAATAATGCCAATTGGTCGTGAATACCATTTGCCTATTGAATTTAATCGACTGAATCGGTGTTACTCATTTACACATAGTACGAATAAATCACTATAACGGAAGCATGAAAACCGTTCGATTTATGCAATGTACTACTATCGTCGTTTGGGCGTTAATTTACAGTAGTATTATAATTTACTCAAAGTCAAGTGATAATATCCAATCTCAAGATTGTACAAACCTCAGATAACCGGGCACAAACGCAAATTACTGCAAGATGATAGCATAAATGCACCAAAGTAGAATAATTTGAACCAAATTTCAATAGAAAATCCTCAAACAAAGCTCGTCCAAACTCATTTAAGAAAAAGAAAATCAGCTTTTATAATCATCTGGACTAAAAAGTTCTCACTAGTCACTACTTTCACTTTCAATTTAATAACTAGCAAACAAGATATATCCACCAAACTTGAAACTTGAATGTCCACAAAACTTCAAATAAGGCCTATCCCGAGCCAAACTTGAGCTCATGGTACTCGACCTTGAGCATTTAACGAGCCTGTAATCGAGCTCGAGCTCGAGTAATTTATCAATATTAACAAGTTAAGGCTCGAGCCTTAACTAGCCCAGCTATAGAAAATCATGTGAAGTTACTCTCTTTGAG